ATTTCTGCTTTCCGGGATGCCGATCGGCGACAGCAGCAACAGGACCGGCGACATTGGCGACCAAAAGCCCAGGGGATGCACTCTCGATATGCAGGGACAGGGATGCAGATGCTGTTTAACTGGCATACCCCCATCCCCATCAGCGAGACCAGCACCATCAACCACCAGCTTAACTGCACACAACAGGCTACTAATCACTGAAACAAATAACTCGGCAGTCAAATGGTATATATTTTCTGGCTTTACAAAAGATACAGCGGGTAATCACATGTTTTACTTAATTAACTCCACTAAACACGCACAAAATGCAGGTGCGATTCCGAAAATCGCAATGAAATGACTCACTGTTTATTTTTGGTCGCGTCCACAATACGCTTATGATTTAAAACCACTGAACTAAAAACTAAAAAACCACAACATTAAACACAAAACTGCTGACGACTCTCAAAGCATCAGTGTGTTGGAGGTCGAGCCAAACCAATTAATGCTTTGATGTAACGTCTCAGCTTCCCAACACAAAGCAGAACAGAGACGTTTCAGTCACTAATCTTACCAAAACCAAAATGTGTTACAACCTCGATCCCATCGGATACACTTCTGATTAATCCTAACCCTCAACCTCTGAGTTACATATTCCAATTAATCCATGCTTTTTCTTCAGATCTTGAACTCAAAGTGCCACACAAGAGTCCAAACACCAGCTTTAACGTCCCGAGTTTAAGGTGAAACGCGTCATGCTTCAACATGAGACAAGAATTTTAAAACGTATAGGAATTCTGCAAATTATTCCCAGTGTCCAGAAACTCAGCAGTGCGTCTTAAAGATTAAGGGAAAAGTAATCAGCCTTTAACAGCAGCTGTTTATAGTAATGACCCTAATAATCATGTCTGTGTTCAACAAAATGTATTATTACTCCCAATTACTTTAAAACTTCCCCGAATTGTTCCCTGCCTCCCGGCATCACATATGTAAATAATGAACTACACAACACATACATCACTTACTATTGTTAAACATGTCAGAATTACACCAACAATTGTATTAAATAATTACACAGAACTGAATTAAAATATAGTGTTCGGTTGCCTAGTCCATGCTATAGGTGATCGTTCAGACTGGTTTATAATACTCTCATTAATAATCTCATTCCCCTGTATGGACTCTCCGCCAAATCACTCCATCTTAATCAGAAACGTAGAGGTCTGTTCAACTTCAAGGTGGTTCCACGAAATTTTGCGTATAGAAATGGACCCTGCATGGATAGTGACAGGATGAATCAAACATCTGTTTTTGTTTGGCTGGTCAGATTCACGCCCCCCCCCCCCCCACTTTGCTATGCTTCAGTTAATATAAGGCGGGGAGAGGGGGGTTGTCACACAGCGCAGTCTTTGTGTCACTTGTTGAGCACTCAACAGAAGGCTGCAACCTTCTTTAATGCAGGGGGACGCAAACTGGCAGCCTTCTGGTTTAAAGAAGATCATCACTGCTAATTGCTTTGATGGTATTACTTTGGTGCTTTGGGTACAGAGCATCCATCTAAATGGAACGGCATAAGATCTGGCAAAGCACGCCGAGATTATCCTGTATCTGTACATCAAGCCAAACCTACACACCCAGAGCGTGAAGGCAGACAATCACATCAGCCATCAGGGGACTCCATCGCATTAAGAGGTCTAGGTCCCTCCCCAGCACCGTCAACCACCCCCGAGATAGCCGCAACAGGCTGTACAAACAGCAGGGGGCCAGGCGTCCACAAATAAAGATTCAATTTCTGACCCCTGGCCGCGGAAATGTCATGGTGGGGATTGTTAGGAAGCGGCAGGGGTCAGTGACACAGGGACAAGTCCAGTGCGGAAACGTAATGAAATCAGAGCCTCCGTCAACTTCTCTGCACCACCTGCCTCTTACTGTACAGCAACTCTTGACAACCCCCTCCCCCATTACGCACTGTCAACAGACAGCAAGCTATGGTCCACTTCCGCTGGCAGTGGGGGGAGGGGGGGAGAGCAAGTGATCACTGACAGCCCCTTGCCCCAATTTAAAGTGTGAAAGCAATTATACAGCCTCTGTGTTTAAAACCTTTTCTGTCATGAAGACACACACGCGCGCACATATCCACACACAAAAAAGCAAACACAATCATTAGCCCTTTTAATTGTTTTAAAGCCCACTCCAGTAACCATGGCATAATCAACGAGGCTCTTGAGGTAGACAGCGGCTCTCTGCCCCCGTCCTGGGCTCTGTTGTGCGGATTTTAAGTCCTTTACCTAATGAGCGAATGCGCGAGCCACTCCCTGCCCTCTTCAGGAACACAAGCCGCTGTACAAATCCTATTTGTGTCTCAGACCCCTTTTGCTCAATCCTGAAGTGTTGATCACGAGTACCAGACAAACTCAGAGTTGGTAAGAACCTAAATGAGCCCACCCTTTAAAGTAATTACGTTTTTTTTCTCACTGGAAAAATGTAACAATGCATAAGCTTGACACCAAGCAGAAGGCTATGATTATCATCATTGACATTCCGGGTGATACTTCACCAGACAAAAGTGGTCGAAAACATCGCACTGCATTTCGGGATATTTTATCTAGGCCTACTGAAGTCCTCGTGTATATGCAGTTACCGGCCGTTTCCAGAAAACAAGTGTGTTTTTAAACCGCGATCGCGCCGATTAAAATGCGGAATTATTTCGTGGTTCGAGAGAGCAGTGGAACCTAATCCGGAGCGAAGGGGTTAAAGCAGCAACCAGTCACTCCGGCTCAAGCGGCACCTGGGGGGCTTTGGCGTTTATCATCGCTGCCCGAAGTACACAACCTGATTTTAAACTGGCTTGGCCGCTTTTCGCTAGCAAGCAGAGAGCCCGTGACTTTTTCACCTCTCAGCTATGCGGTGGTCTTTGCGTCGGGGGTGCCTCCTCTACTCCCTCACCACCCCAGCAAAAAGAAGGTTACTAACGATTTAAAAAAAAAAAATTAAACAAAACTGAGGAGGGGATGTCAGGGTAGAGCGTGCAGAAAAAACAGGATAGAACGCTTGGCATCAGTTTAATAAATTCAAAGTATTTTTCTGAGATTTTTTTTCGCTTTTATATTGTTGTAATATTTTTGGTGCAGTCCTCTAGCTTGAATAAATTGGTTTATGAATAAATGAGTCTTCCTTCTCCCTCTTGTTAACATTGCTGAGAATTTGCACAAAGAAATGTTTTCCAGTCCAATTCAACTTTATGCCTGAGGGCATGTATTAAAAATACATATGGAACGAGATAATGCACACACGACAAATTCGTTAGCGATGTCACCCCTTAACAACCGCACACTGAAAACACAAGAGAAATGATAAGCAAAGGGTGTATATATATGTATATATATCGCTCATACCGGTGATAAAGCGAAAATAAGATAAATCAATTAATTTCAGAGGCCACTGAGTGCATATCTGGATACACACACACACGCCACTCACCCAAAACGATCATTAGAGAGCATACTAAATCAGCACTTTACCATAACGCCCACTGAAACGCTAGATTCCCGTTGACCGCGAGAATACTTACATCCGTGATCGCTCCCTTACCAATGAGATTTAGTTTATATTTTTATTTCATAAATTTACCGGGGTAAACATAAAATACATTGGCCTCCCATTTTAGGCTACGCGCAGGCCTATCATTAGGTAAAATTAGGGCATGGCTCCATCTTAAAGTCAATTAAAGATCCGATTCCGTGCCCCTAAGCACAGCATAATTTGTTCAAATAGCTCTATATACCTTGGAACCCAAGGGTGTTAAAAAAAGTCTATTTCTATCTCTCGAGATTCCATCTTTGCCATCTTAAATTTGACATATAAAATGGTAAACTTCTAAAAAAAAACAGCCTCGTTACAAGAATATTAAGAAAACATAGAAGCGTGCAATTTGCGTTTTAAATTCAATGTTTAAGTTAATTCAATTCCCTAACAATTAAATGTTTCAGAATTCTTAATTTTCTGGTGAGCATACCCCTTGAGAACACCGCAGTGGCTGTTGGACGGTCGTGTCATCACAATCCCAGCTGAATGAGGGGTGGGACTAAGATTTTCACTTTGCCCGGCTATTTAAAAATAAAAGCCGGTGACTGACAAATTTATATTATTTTTGCCTGATCGGTCCATTAATTTTATGCGGGTGCAGTCACTAGTCCTCTTTGCTAACCGTTGATGGTCTTATCCATTGCACCGCCATACACGTTTATAATTCTCCTAAATGGTCAGTGGATCGGTCGGTAGAGCCTCGGCAGCGGCCTTCCACGCGTCACATGTGCGCAGGGAACAGGCAGAGAGCAGCGGAGCACCGAGCTCCCAGAAAACACGAGACCAGTCATTTCCTCAGCGCGCAATAAACAATTCAGCAGCCGCGAGCTGCATGAAGGAGGGGGGGGGGGCGCATTGACGACGCAAGATAAAGCCTAAATATTCTTTAACTATTAACAAATCACGCAGCCTAAAACGAAGCAAGATAAACAGATCTGTAAACCGTTTTTAGAAATTACGATATGCATTCACATCAACCGGCGCACACCGATCAGAAACCACAGGCGTAAGCAACGTGGGCTCGTGTCTTAAGGAAAAATACTGACAAGGCAACTAATGAACCGTGAACAGCAGGAGACAGTCCCAGGCACCTAACCTCCCTCTTTTCCCCTACTAAATCTCTCGGCTCATCAGTGCGATTTTCAATAAAACACTAAGTACTTTAGTCCATTTGCTTATTTGAAAATTACACCGATGGAATTTCGTTCTGATTAAAAAAGAAGACGAGGAAAAAGAAAAGACTAAATTAAAATAGACACGAAACAGGTCAAGTTTATGGCGATGCTTTCACAAGCTAATCTCCCTGGGTCGGTTCCGGGATCAAACCTTAATGAAGCAATAATAGCCACATTATTCAAATTTTTTTTCATTCCGATGGAATTTAAAAGAGCCTTAATCGTATGCAAATAGCGGAGAGGCAGTGCGCTGACCCAGAAGACAATCTGAATATCCTACTTTTTACACAGTAAATGAAGGAGAAGACCGCATACCTGATCTAGGGTTCCGGATGATCTTGTGATTTCTTCACTGTCTGATTTTGATCCACCTTCTCTGTCGTCTATAACCAAATCGATGGGCATCTTCCCCTTCAAGCAGCTGATATAGCGATGGCAGAAATTGTCGCAAAGCTCGTGTACCTAATATATACAAAATGAAATGATATAAATTAAAAAAAAAACTGCAGAGGGACAAAACGGGGGGATGGACACGTGCGACTTTTTCACACGCAGGGCGAGCCAAGGAATGGGAGCGATGTCGCAACCCCATCCATGTCTCAGACGCATCCAGAATTTGGGATAACTTTTTTCTTCCAAAATTGAGATATCGCAGAAAATTGACAGTGACAAGACGACTCACGGGCTACAACATATTCAACACCCGTGCGAAATTCATCTGCTCCCGAGGCTGTGCCTATTACATCGGCGACCTTCTTGAGTGACATTTAAGGTAAACTGTTTAATTTCGTCTGGTTATTTCATTACCAGCGCTTTCCATGCAATCTCGCCATTCAGGATATCAGGCGGGGTGTTAAACAACCGCGTTTCCAACACTTGTCCCACATCCTTCAGGTCTTTAAGATCAGCCATTACTCTATCACAGATACCTAACAGTAGCGTTATCGTATCCGGTAATGTTTCGCTAATGTACGGCAAGTTGCCCGAGAGTTCTCGGCGCAAAATTAACATATATTTAAAGTTTTCAGTCTCCCGTGTTGAAACAGCGCACCAGTCCACGCCCCGACGTAGAAAACACGGAATTGTCTGCAGTAATTAAACTTGCAACCTTAAGTAATACTTTTGGGAGTTAATCAAATCCTTCTGTGGACCTTTCGGCAATGCAGCGACCGCCGATGCGCTGGGTCAGCCCGTCGTGTGATTTTTAGTACGGCCCAAATACTGCACAATAGGTGACAGTGCGGAATTAAAACCGAGATTTCCACTAAGGGGTGTTTGCTCCCGTTTAAGTGGCTTGAATTGTAATTAAACACGAAAGAGAAATAGGAGCCAAGATTGATTTTGACACTAATTACAACAGACCAGAAAAAAAGACATTTATGCAAATGTACCCTGTAGGCCTGCACTGTAACACCGGCCACAGAGAGTAAGACAAAATTACCTTCTCTAGCTCCAGGAGATGAAATCGTAATACTTGAATTGCTTGTATCATCTGGAAAAAAATAATAAAATATGTTTTTTAATGTACCATGATAAAACACAGTGATCTATGAATCTCTTGCCATTCTCCCTCTATTATCCAAACGTAAGATTTACGGCAATACAGCTGTTTCCTAAATTACCAGTTTATTTTACTATTCTGTTATTATTATGTCCTGATGCTGAAATATTGTAACATTCAAATCGGAGGCACGCGATCAAGACGTCAAAAATTAATCGCGTTAAAAAAAATTAATTAACTGCCTTGGTGATGAGAAGAGAGTACTCAAATTAAATGAATTTCACAGAATACTTTTGACTCCAAAAAAAAAAGTTCAAGACTTGGGCCAGCTATCCAGTGCCAACAGGAAGGACGGGAATTTGTCATGAAAAATGGTGGCAACACAAAATCATGCAAACAAATTTGAACCTACTGCACCAAGCACATCCCTGAACTTCTGCAACGGGTTACGTTTAACGTTCAGACATTGCCTATGCACATCGAGCATCGATACATTAGGGAGAATTTTAAAAATGCAATTTACAAAATATAAAGTATTCTGCCTCGAAAAAAATACCTAGATGTATAATTACCAGATTATCCAGTTCAGGGTTCGATGAAAATAAAGGCTTTTCTGCCCGAACCTAAATCAAGGGAAAAAATCTCCATTATTATAAAAGTTACGGAAGTCACGAGGTAAAAGTCTCGCGGAGTTACCATATATTATCATAAAATCACGCATATCCTTCATGTTACAATTAAAATCTACACAATTTTAACTGACTGCATGTTTGTGTCTTGAACATGCATTAATACAAGCAATATTATAATGTGCTCACAACTTGAAACAATGGCAATAACATTACACATGTAAGACGTGATGTACAACGTGAGTTATAAATAATGCACTACGCGAGCAACTTTATTGAATGCAAAACGTGCGAGCATAACGTGCCACACTCTGACCTGTTTTGCAAACACGGCTATATCTTCATTGAAGGATTCCGAGGAGCAAACGTCGCCTCCAGCAACGCCGGGTTCTCTCGGTGTGCAAGTCGCTAATTCACATTTCTCAAAAATCAGTGCTAGGAGAGGAAAGAGGGGGTGCCTGCAATAGAGTAAAATCGTAAGCGTCTCCAGACGACACTGAAGTCAACTTTATATATATTTTTAATCTCTGTCTACTACTCCGCAGTGCTTCATAAACCGCGGTAAACAACAGTCAAGACAGCACGGCGGGAATATCAATAAACGACGGTCCCTTTTTCGGCACAAAACAATCTAAAGCCAAATAGTTTCACACCAAATAAGGCCGTACACAGCATCAACTACTTCACTACCCCCTAGTCCCCGTTTACTCATCTTTCCTCCTTTCACGTTTTAGATAATGAAATACTCGGTTTTACACAGAGGGCCACTTATAAATCGCCGCTATAAAAGAGCTAAATATGTTATTTTAAGAACTGGCAACAAAAGCCAACGAGATTTAAGTGCGGCTGTCACAATCAATGCATGCTTTTTAGCTTTCCTGTACTAACTAGCATTGTGTATTAAGTTTACGTAGGAGAGTTGCAATCTGATTACACAAATCAGGTTTATCTAGACATTTTCGATATACATCACTTCCATTAAATAATCTAATTCATATGTAGCCCAATAATGTTTTCGACGAGTTGTTGTATCACTAGAATATGGATTGGTTAAGTTATTCCCACCCTATTTCCAAAGTAGAAACAGGCTTAGTTCTGTATGTGCCTGAAGATATTAATTATAATAATTATTATAGCAGTGCAGCCTTTGTTACTACAATGTTTATTTTTAGAAGAGCGGTTCACATATTTACAACCACATTGCATTAGTTACTGTAAACGTCACGTTGTGAATTCAAATGCTCTTTGCATTGCCTCAAAGTATCCAGTATGTGTCTGACCTTCTTAGAATTAAGGGAATGTCGTTTTTCAATTTCCCTAAATATTTCTCAGTCAGTGACACACATTGGTATCGTTTAGTGCAACAAATTGGTGTTTGGTATATTGTTTAATGTAACAGATATTATTTTCAAGAAAACAGGTACACAGCAAAAAAAAAACTAAATTAATTATTTCCCGAGAAAAGTTGTAAAGGTTTACTAAAAGACACATACGAAGTTGTGTTCAAATAACGACTTTCCCTGCCTCAGCTAAACTTTTTTTTTGTTTCTCCAGACCTCTTCCGATTTTATGGCGCACCGAAACAAATAATCTGTTGGATTTTAGGGCCACCCCTCTAATAATAAAATATGAACACGGTAGCCACCTAAACCTACCCGTAAATGGCATCTTTATCTCTTTTTAGCGCGTCGTTGACGGAGGAGCCCATATTGGGGGGCATGGCGTTGGTGTGGGCCGCGTGCGGATACTGGTGCGAGTGCAGCTGGGGACCGTGATTCAGATGGACAGCCTGCATGGATCTGGCGGCGTGAGGATCCGCGTACATCGTGGTCGGGATTCCTACGCCTTCCATGCCGTAATGGGGCAGATCTTCGTACTGCACAACAACAAAAACAGGGCAAGCTCGGTTCACAAAAACAACCTACAATTATTTTAAAAAGTATACCACGAAAATGAAATATAAAACAAGCTTGAACGTGCAAGCCGAGCAAAAACGACTTCGCCTACGTTTTTTTTTTAATGCTCTGCGCCCGCTTAAATGTTTCGCATTATTGCGATGCGGTGTAGTTCGTATCTACTTGTAACTTAACTTGTTAACCGTATTTACAGGTAAAAAAGAACAAAATCAATTGCGTTTTAAAAGGAATTTTGTAAACAAACAAGTCCTCCTTTTACGTTACATTTAACGTGTGGGGTTAATTATTCATGATGATGTACTAAGAGCCAAAGCAATTACAGTGAAAGTGTGATAAAAGGAATTAACACATTTATGCCCTAAAACCGTAAAGGTGTCAATAGCCACTAGGGTGTTGTCGTGGTCACACCTTGAGTAGCAAAAGGTTTTGGTAAGTTTTCCGCAACTCCTTTTTAATGTTCATACTTTTAATTTAAATTAAGATCCCTGCCATAATTTGCAAATCTGTAAGAAATGAAAGCTGTCCAACATGCAATGGTTAAAATAATGATTACTCATGGATGGAACTCTAAAAAAAATCTACTTTAATTATTTAGCTGTATGATGAATTATTGGGATTGTGTAATATAGGAACATGAACCAATTTGTGACTAAATAGGTTTTGCGCGAGAAATGTAATTTTAATTAAATTTAATAAATAAATGAATATGAAGTACATGTTATGTAAAGGATTTTCATATGTAATGCCTGATTTAAATCCCTAAAAAATACTACGCTCGTGAACAGTACAAGCACCGGTCCCTTGCTTCCCGGAGTTACTGTGTATCTTTCTCTGCTAAAAAATATGTAATGACTCAATTGGAAAATATCCGAAGTAAACGCACTTTTTGTGTTCACTGAGAAGGTGTAACAGATTATTATGTATCTGGCTATATAGTCAAGCCAGTCTGTGAAAACTAACTTTGAAAAGGTGGTTAACATGCTATACGTACGAAGAAAAGTTTTTTTTTCTTGTGACCGTCTGTCATCAGCCACGTTTAATCGTTATAGCCGCTGCGTTTTAGCTGCCGAAACTTTTCATCGTACGTACCCTTTGCGCCATCGGCCTGTCTCGCGCCCTCTTCTTCCTCGAACTTCAGATATATCCCCTATGAGGCCAGGGTGGAGAGGAATAAGCACGCAAATTCCAAAAGCAGGAAAAGAAAATCCTTATTTTTCCTTTATGTAGGCGAAGAGACTGGAGCTTCAGCTCGGGCTCGCCTAAAAGCGATGCAATTAGTTCCTTCGTTTTTCACAGGACAACGGCAGGGAAAGAACAAATCTTCTTTACCAAACAAGTATGAAAATGCCCCTCAAACAAAACTAGTGACTCATGGCTTTTTGCCACTCCAGCTGTCAATCAAACGCGAGGTTGTCAAAGTGCTGAATGAATGATGATCCGCCGTGCGCTTCCACTGGTTGGGACACCTTAAATGTTAATACTCAACTGGTCACAAAAAATCAAGCTCTCTCCTTTCTTTGATCACTCTCAGCCTCCTGAGCTGATTTTTTTATGCAATAGCCTCTAAATGAGATCAAGAGGAGGTGGAGTGATATTTCTGGCTTAGTTTTTCTTAAAGGAGCCACGATCGATGCCGCGAGCTGCCTGCCCGTGTGTGTACAATGCGCGCGTCTCGAGCGGAGCGAAGAAGTGGATCTGGACCAGACTGCTGAAACCCGGAAGTAGTGGTGGCCATAACAGGTCGCGTTTTGCACAATGTAATGGGCTGCATGAACTTGCTCTCATAGGAGGGGGGGAGCAAAATGTCTGGAAAAAAACCTTGGAAAGCGAAGTCAGTGTGCATGCTGATATGCAGAGCACACATGGTTTAGAATAATGCCACTTCGGTGCTTTTTTTGTCGCGTTATCCTTGTTTTATTACAACTCTTGCATTTTGTACGTCGCTGATATGACAGCAGTTGATGTACTGGCAGGAGATGTTAGATCAGGTATACTTTGCTCACAGAACGACAACAGAAAAAACAAAAAATAATAATGGTTCAGTGCGTCGTGTATTGATAGCACGTACAGTCGTCATGCCTGACTGTAATATTTTAAGAACTTTACGGCAAAATGGTCCAAAATATCCTTGACTCACGCCGATGCGCAATTTGTGCCGAATGACTTGTTAAATGAACAAAACAAAGGCATCTGTCCTCAGTATAGACTGCTTTCTTTAAATATTTAAAAAGAAATTATTAGTTCCACTTTTACTAATATGACATATTATACTGACTGGCACGGGAGAAAATACCATTTACGGAAAATTGTATGTTTACAGTTAATTTCAGCATAATTTAGCCTTTGAATAAGGGAGCAGAAGTATTTAATTCACTTAACAAGACGTGAAAACAGCTCAATTTACCACATTGCCCTGAAAAGATTTTGAACCCAAGGCGCAATATCAAGCGAAGCTCTTAAAGAGGTATCAATTTTCTGTTTCTGTACGAATTTCACACCCCCCTCAAGCCTGCGAAATGGGCCGCTCCAAGTCACTATAGTCTTCGGGGTGTTCAGAGGCGGCGTCCAATGAGAGTTTGCCGAAACGACTCAGACCTTTCATTGGCTGCAAAGATTATCAATTATCAAGTGATTTATCAACTTGAGCCCTGATGTTTAGGCAGGAATACTGCATATAAAAAAGAAAAACAAAAACAGAGCATATTGCCAGGGAAATGTAAGTGCGATTCCGCAGGCTTTTTATGCTAATTAAAAATGTAATTGTACTAAATCACCGGCCTGTATGATGTGTGAGCAGAAAACAAAATCAGTGAAGTTCATTTGTTCAGAAATGTACCAAACTTGTATTATATTTATTGAAGTAATAAATTATTTGGCCTACACTTCCATAGGTTTTTGGATAATTTGTGTGATCCACGAATTATGTATTCCTTTAGAAGTTATTCCAACTTTGTTGATTGTTCGGATAAAGCAAATTATGGTGTTACTTTGTTAGAGAGCTGCTCCCGGTTCTCAAAGTAACCTTATCGTCGTCTTACAAAATGGGAAGCTCATTGAAGGGAACAATAGCATACGGCGTGTTTTAGAACAAATTTGCATGATGTTTGCAAACATAACAATATTTTAAAACATTAATTATAAAAGTACCCAACTACAGTACATTTATCAACAGGCCTAACCCAATTATGAGTTTTGAAGTGCATTAACAATCCTTAAAGGAAAATAGTCTATAATTAATTTGACAATGCATTGAATTAAACAACAATTATGTAATGCTGTTATATTCCAAGGAGAAGTGGACAACTGGACGTTTTGATCTGAATAGTCTTTATTAATTTATCACGTTATTTTATTCCCACAACTCACGGTAATATTTTTGGCGAACGCCGAGCCTCGCGCCAAGGTGCAAACCGCGTTATTTGTATTCAAATACCCCAGTGAAGGGTGCGCGGAGTTCGTCTCCGCAGTATCTGTCATCGATCAGAACAGTTTGGTGCCAGTGAGAGTGTCATATCAGATAATGCAAGCTTCACACATTCAACGATCCCCGTGTCAGAACTGTGCTGGGATCTTTCGTCTAAATTTACAAGCATGAAATTACTATCAAGCCCCCAAACCGCCAAGCGGAGCGTTGGATGCGCAGCTCAGCTCCGAATTTACAGAGCGACGTAGGGAGCTTGGAGGAGCACAAGCGATGATTATATACACTACGGAAGCTTGAGTAAAAGCTCGAACGGCCCAAAATACGGTCATACGTGAGTATTTAAAATGCTTTCAAAATGAAGATTTAAGCGGTAAGTAACTATCTTTACGTTAACTATCTTGTATGCTGTTTTATTTCTATAATCGTATTACTGTTTATTTACTTTAGCTGCGCTTTCATACTAGTGCCAAACACGCCCTTAAAGTTTAGTTTTTTTAAATAGGTTATACTCGCTTTATAGTGCGCAAATAAACAATTTTGTATGTTATTCTAAATTCAAAAATATGCGTTGTTTTGTGTTTTTTTCCCGTATGGCCCCTCTTGGGTTGATCACGCGGAGAGTTTGAATTGCACACTGTAAAACATACCCAGTTAAAGCGGACTTGAAAGGCGAATTATTGCTCGGCTTTACAGCAACGCGGCACTATAATGGCATTATAAAGTAATTAAGTCGCCCCTATTGACATCTATAAAGGGGTATGATAAAGCCTAACATACTACGGAAAAAAGAAATGACTCTGTTAAAGCTAGCAATGCCGTTTTCGTGGGTGCCGGTGTCCATACTGTATGCAAATAAAGTCAATTCGGTTATTCCAGCGAACACGATCTATATCCCATTTACACGATCTCATTAATATTGTACATTAAGGGTCATATAGGTTATTTAATCAGTCTGTGGTACGTTGTGACAATTCAATTTTATATGACGGAGCTCGTGTTAACGCCGCAATTACATCCATTATGGAACATGGAAATATATGTTGTGCCTGTTTAATTAGAATTCAGGCACCGCGTCTAAAAGCGAAACGAGCTTTACATTTTTAACAGAATATGTAATGATAAATTAATAATTAATCTACAGTACGCCATTCTGATCTCCGTTTATTCCCGATGTTTCTCTGGGACACGCTCTTTTTATTACTTTATTTTCTTAAACCTGTCATTTTTGCTTAGGCCCATTCAAATGAAATTCCTTTCCTGCTTGTATATATATATATATATATGTGCGTGTGGGTGTGTGTGTGTGTTTAAAGGTACTTTTCAGTTTTCATCTTTTCGCTTATACAAACATGTGGCACACTAATAATTTGCAAAATCATTTTTCTATTCTTTATAATCATTTTAAATAATATTTCTTCAGCTTGACTGGTTCCCCTCCACTCGTGGGCTCCTGTTGAGACCAGCTGACATTGCGGTTCAGAAGTCAAGCAGAGGTCACTTTTTCACAGCCCTGGCAGAAATTTCCGACAGAACCTGTTGAAATACATACGTCCGAAGCTGCAGCGAAGACCGCTGATGAATCGCACCGCGAACCTATTTCACATAGAGATGAATCATTTCTGCTCTATGAGAGATGCTGCGTGATAACTTCGCATTAATAACTGTACACGATCAATACAATATATCGAATATCAAAGAGCCTGCTCTCCGAGGCCTTCGTAGACCTTCAGTTTTATTTGCTAAATGTCTGGTTCATGTGCACACTGACTGCTCCGGCAAGACGACGTATTTATTTTAACAATTTAAGAAGTTAGAATGATTGTTTAATAATAAACAGAAGCCGATTGCTTATTGTTGCCCATTTGTAATGCAATAATTAAAGGGGTATCTTGGAATAAAGTCCCAGCTAAGTTAAAATTGTACTTTGAATGACTTTGTAATTTTCTGTTTTGAAATATACCTCTATATACAATATTGATATTTTAAATCGTACTTTAACATAATATGTTCCTGGAATGTAGTTAAACAGTAATATATTTAAGCGCTATGATTGTTATCAAAAGTTTGTTTTTTCTTTGATCACATTTCATTACTTCACAATTAAAATGTAAAATATAATAATAAAATTATAAAGGTTGAGATAAATGTTTTTTTCTTTCTGTCTGTCTTTTTTGAATTGTCAAATATAGGCCTACAGTTCCGATTTCTGAAGTACTGCAGTACCCTATATTGTATTTACTTGTTGGTCCAGATGTATCAATGTAAAGAGCACGTCGGTTGCAGAGCCGAGCCATGGACGTGTAAATGCTTAATCGTTTGCGCCGTCTACTGGAGATTTGAGGAATTATTTGAAACCATTATTTGAAAGTTACAAGTCCCGGCAATGGAAAAATGACTTTTTAGTTGTACAAACAGTATTACAGAAGCGCCATCTGGTTTTTGAAAATAAGATAAACTTAATATCAATGACATATTTTTAGGAAACACATGTATTTGCATGTATATTTAATTTTCTACAGTTCCAAACTTCATAAAAATTTCTACACAATATCGATACACAAGCATGCATAGTCATTAAAATATTGCTAGATGTTGATTCTATGATTTAATGTCATAAACAGTAATATTACTTCATAATTAATTCCAATTTGAAAAGAATCAATCATTGTCCAATTAATATATACAAATAAATACACACAAGTACCTTTGTGGGTGCAAATGTACAGTAAATTATTTTATAACAGTTCCAATGTAATTTTATTGTTTTTACATGGCAAATGTTTCCATTTCATAACAATTGTTAATGATGTTCACAGGACACGACCTCGCACCTCCAGCGCTGGGGGATGAATCCCACCGTTTCCATGTGTGTTACATGTTCTTCCCATTTTGGGTGGGTTTCTGTTGGGTATACTGTTTTTCTCCCACAGCCCAAAGACATGCAGTTGGTGCATCTAAATCACATCTGTCCTACAGACGACTGGCATCTGGTCCAGGGTGTACCCCTGCCTTGTGCCCTCTGCCATGCTCCTGCCCCCCAGATGAGAGGTTGGAAGAAGGATGAGTAGAACGTTATAACTAGCACTGGTAACCAAAAACAATGGTAGTCAGAGGAGAATTTATTAAGGTGGCTCCTTTGGATGAAATAGATCATAACGACAGGAAGAATCTGTAATAGGATTTATAATGAGAAAATGTGTGATTAAATTAAAGGCCTTTTTGTACTTAAAATGATCTCGGCAGAATGTTATTTCTTTATCATGTGGAGCTTTAACTGCTGCGCATC